GCCTGTTTCTTAAAAAAAACTTAAGTAGAAAATCTTACTTAAGTCAAAAAAGACAAAGACTTTTTTGGACTTAAGTTTGACTTAAGTCAGATTTTCTACTTAAGTTTTTTTAAGAAACAGGCCCCAGGGATTATCCTATTATACCTGTATTTTGATATTAGCCTACTAGTACGAGACCATAAAACTAAGCATACTCAAAGCCTGAATAACAAAGTTTCTAGTTTCCGGCGTATTAATAGTTCAAGATTCCTCTACATCTAAGCGACCTTATGCTAAATTATCTTTTTTGGCCGTTTGAAGCTGCCTCTAGCTGGAAGCTATTTTACTTCCAGATCTCTATAAGTGTAACGTTACCCAAACAGCGCTTCATGGTAATGCAAGACTTACTATTGGCGAGATCTAGAGTTCAGCAAGAGGCTATAACACGAGGTTTTTATTCTCATATACTCCTTTTCTGTACTATATCCTTTTCCCTTGAGTATGGATTATGATCATCCTTATTGATGTCCATACTGATTTACCTTCAATAGCGATTTGGCGTATTTATGATTTTGCTGGAAATGCATGCTTGACTAAACGAGTTCTTTAATGAATTTATAGAGTCTAAGTATGAGATGCTTTAGTGCAGAAATGAGATCATTTTCTAAATCAGTATCTGCTATCGGTTCGTTTTTGATTCATTAATTTATTCCCATCAACTCAGTATGATACGGCGAGAATTTGTTAAACATAGATCTCACATTCATCATCCCTTCTTCTTAATCCTTATCCTCGGTAACTTTTACGACGGATAGTCAGCTCTTGTCATTTTACTCTTTTGTAGGTATAAATTGATATGGCATATATATAGAAAAATGTAAATCTTGCATTTTTATATAGAATTATAAAAGTTGAGTGAATACTCAGTGTTCATCATCATGTTATGTTTATCATTAAAACGTTCTGTTTTTCTTACTACGAAACATTTTTGTTCCACGTTTTACATTCAGCCGAGTTTACGGCGCGAAACAGGCTTAATCTATAATATTACAACAAGATGTATTTCCATAACAGACAATTTCGGTAATATGCCTAGGTAATGTTAAGTTAATGGCTGATAAAGCAAAATTGCGTATGTGTTACTTGATGGGAGGGGTTACTTTGATATTCTTAATGTTTTTAAGTTAGGCGTTCTAAATTAAATTGTAAGATTTTCGGCTCAAACTATAATATATTCTGCTTTGTAACAACCATAAGAATTTTTCTTTCCTTAAAGCTACTTCACATCACTCTAATGTCATACTGTAAGCTTATTTTGCTATTAACGTAATTGATGGAACTATTGCTTTTGTATTTAGCAAAAAAAGTTGGAAAAGTCGAAATTGATTTTGTTTAACTGAATCTATGGTTATTCTGTTAAAAAATCTATCTATTATTGATAAAAACTTTGTCTATTTGCTACTCTCTTTGTTAAAGGCGTGCAAGAAGTGCTTTTGCTCCGTCACCGAAGTGCAATTTTGGACCGAAGGTGAATAATTGAATCATTTTAATATATAAATGAAAATATTTGATTACATTTACGCTAAAAATTTCAGGGAACACTCAAGAAAATTCAGAACAATGATCAGCTCATGTTAGTAAAAATTTGATTTTTTGCTCTATTTAATCACTATCATCGACAGATATCATTAACAACAAAATTAGTTTTGCTGTGTATACTGTGCATATTTGTGCTCTCTTAGTAAAAAAAGTGTCTTTTCACTTTCTCTCAATATTTGCATTTATTTTCCACTATTATGTAGTGTTATACAAGATCCGTCGAGTCAACGTTTACATTGGATTAGTCCACCAATTCATATTATGGTTATTCGAAAACCAGGTGCATCAACATTGTCAGAATTTCGACAAATAATCATTGAATTACTTCGAGTACGTACCGTTGAATATCTCTGAGGATCTATTGATGTTTTCTTTTTCTTTGTTTAGCGTAATCTCTATGTTTACATTGAGGATGCTGAACATATGCATTTGCCATTTGCAACGGATGAAAATCTGAAAAGCCATGGTGAAAATTGCATCTCATTTGATCAAGGTGGGATAAATACATGTAAATCTAGAGGGAAGATTTGTAGCAATCATATCTGATTGGTTTAGAAAATGATCTGGATAAAATTGATTTGATTCTCTGTTTGGGTGGTGACGGTACACTTCTTCATGCGTCAAGTATCTTTCAAGTAAAAAATAAGAAGCAATCATGTTAAATTGATTGATTGAAGATATCATGTTTAATCTTCTTTTAGGATAGTTGTCCACCGGTACTATCTTTTAGTATGGGTTCGTTAGGATTTTTAACTCCATTTGAATTCAAAAATCACTATGAAGTCCTTAATGAAGTACTTGCCGGTAAGTTGGGCTTTATAATATGCTCAAGTGTCACCACGAGACAGAGCTGCAGAATCTGCCTATTTGCTCCAACAGTCGTCGGAGGAAAACTTATTGAATGGGAAATTTTTTGAAAAACTTTTTCAGTCGAGGGAAAATTTTCAAACGAAACACATCGTCAGCGGTAAAGTAAACCGTGGAAATCACAAATATAATGTTGTTGCACAGTGGGCATTTTTCGCTAGAGCAGGCGGGCATTAACTTTATAAGCGGACTGAAATTATCTGAACCACTTTCTATAGGTTTTCGACGATTCTCTTTCCAATGGAATAGTTTTCCAGTTTTGACAAAGTTTTCCAATGGGTTTTCCAGAGACCGGATTTGTGGAAAACCCTTCGAAAAACGTTTTAAACTGAAAAACCATTCCATTGGATAGAACATCGTCGATAACCTATAGAAGCAGTTTTTTCAGACCTTCCACGGTTTCTCCCTTGAATTTTGAATTTTCAGCGAAAAGTTCTTCGTGTGAATCCCAAATCTAAGAAATTTATAGAATTCAAAACGGAAGGACCGAATTCAAATAAATTATATACCATCCTTGCAGTTTTTCACGGTGATTCCGAATATATATATCATGTAGGAAAAAATGTTTTTTGAGTGCGAAAAGGTCAGTTTACCTCAAAAACCGAGGGATTTTGGAAAACCAATATCTCAGTCCAGGAAAATATGCGCACTTTTGCGCATTCACCATAGATGCACGGCCTCGCGA